TGAANAACAAAGAAAATGATGCTGAGCTTTCTCTGAAACCGTATGCATCGATGAAGAATTTTAGGTTGTCGAGAACAAGATCCGTATTCTGTAATCCGATGCATCATTCTTCGACTCATATCCATGATAACTGGCAAAAACATCCAGCGACCATTGTATTATTTCGCGCGCTAGGTAAAAAAAGAACACTCGTTCTTTACCGTGTAACTGCGTTCTAATGGACGAGATAGATCGCCCCTCCATTTAACCTGGACAATAGCAAATTTGACTGAACGCCCTTAGTGGGAGAGCTTAGTGTTTGGTAAATAAAGCTGACAATCTAGTCTCAAATACCGCGGTTTGGAACCATTTACAGAGTAGCCCTGTGTTCCGTAAGTCCCCAAAGAACTTCTCCATCATCTGCGTGGATTCTTTGTGAATGTTATCACATTTCCCGATATAATTTCATCAGAGAAAGTCATTTTTGTGATCTGTTAAATGAAAGGTTTATTCAACCAATTAGCAAAGTCTTTTAAATGCAACTAAGCTTACACGCACTAGAATTTCGCGAACCGAAAAAGATCAAATTAAGTAGTCAGTGCTGACAAATAATAAGAATCCATGAATGAATCGATACATACTTTTTATGAATTTTTGTCAAGACTATGTTAGTTGAAACAGATATTTTGCCAAGAGAAAATTATCCAAGCTGACACTCGTTTATCGGAGATCATCATAAGGGGCTGCTATCAATGGCGGATCTTATTTTGATAAAAAGTACACGGCATTTGCGAATCGTGTAAATTTACTTCTGTCCAACGGACAAGGCGTGCTACTAGATCGGCGAATTACATCGCGGTCATGCTCCAAATATTTTTTGTACACAGGATGAAAATTGCCAATTAATAGCTAACTTCTGCTAGAACGCACAGGATAAAGGCGGCATCATAAACAGGACGGTACCCGATCATGTGTAAACTTGATTATCTGTTATTGTTTTTCCCGAGGATAAATGAGAGGGGAAAATTTGGTCTTGCGTTACGTTTCTCAGTCAAGCATACTCCCCTGGGATCATGAACGAAATGGAACAGTAATATGCCGATCTTGATTACTGTACCTGTTAAAACTTTGTGGGCTTTGAGAGTAAATGAGAACCTCTATTACTAAGAATTTATCAGATGAAGTTCACAACGAATAAATTTCTGTTTCA